CATTGCTTCTCGTCTACACTTGGACGGGCATGTACTACCGCCCATCCTCACGGGAACTCCGCCGACTCAACAATCTGCTTCGAAGTCGCATCTACGAGCATTTCGGCGAGTCACTTTCAGGGCTTCCAACTCTCAAGGCCTTCGGCGCAGTCCCTCGCTTTGTTGACGACAACGCGCGCAAGATTGACACGGAGAACACAGCTTATTGGCTATCAGTCTCTTGTCAGCGGTGGCTGAATCTCCGTCTGGACCTTTGTGGTACGACTCTTGTCTTGGCTGCCGGCTTACTGGTTGTTGGACTTCGCGGTACCATTGATCCTTCGTCTGGCGGTGTAGTCTTGTCCTACATCGTTACGGCTCAGGCTGTGTTTGGCAACATGATTCGTCAGAGTGCGGAGATCGAGAACAACATGAACTCGGTGGAGAGGATGCTTCATTATGCCTACAACATTGAGCAGGAGCCAGCGCACCAGGTCGACGAGGTTGATAAGGAGCTCAAGGCCCGTCAATGGCCACATGCTGGTCATGTTCAGTTCCGGTCTTTTACCCTTAGTCACCGTCCTGGACTTGATCCTGCTCTTAAAGATGTGAATCTTGATATCAAGGCTGGTGAAAAGGTCGGCATTGTCGGCCGTACAGGTGCTGGCAAGACAACACGTAAGTGTCAAAGACAGTCCCTTTTAGCCAAGTACTAATAGTCGTATAGTGATCTCTGCGTTATTGCGAATCACCGAACCTACGAGTGGTCGAATCCTCATCGACGGAGTCGATATTCACACCGTCGGCCTGCACCTCCTCCGATCAAGCCTCTCCGTCATCAGCCAAGATGCCGTTCTCCTAGCCGGTACCATCCGCTATAACCTCGACCCTTTCCAACAATACGACGACGAGTGGCTGCAACAATGCCTAGACCGGGTTGGGCTCGGCCAATTCTCGAAAGAACAAGATAAGGAAGCAGAAGAAAATGAGAAGCACGATTCTGAGTCCAGCAGTGCGGGATCAAGTCTGAACTTGGACTCAGAAGTCAAAGAGAACGGTTCCAACATCTCCCAAGGACAAAGATCTCTCATTTCTATTGCTAGAGCTCTCGTTCGGAAGTCCAAGATTGTCATTCTTGACGAGGCAACGGCCTCTATCGATGTCAGAGCAGACGCGAAGCTTCAAGCCATGCTAAATGAGGTCGTTGGCGACGCAACCGTTCTTACCGTGGCCCATCGACTAGATACGATTGTTGCTACGTGTGACAAGGTTGTTGTGATGGACAGCGGCAGAGTAGTTGAGTTTGACACTATCTTGGACCTGTATGCCAGTCCGGGCAGCGTGTTTAGATCTTTGTGTGATGCAGCGAAGATTTCTATTTAGTCACAATTTTCACAAGTAATTACTTCAGTTCGTGCACATAGACGATGTACATAAATCTAATTAATTTGATACTTTACTTGCGATTTTGGTCACGCGGCCTGGACGTTACGATTACTTGGGATTGCCACTGCGACAACGGAGTATCATAGATTGATAAGATCGTCTGGTGTGATAAGCAGTCTCTTACATGCATCAAATTGATGAGTGAACGATCTGCACCCGCCAAGACGAATGACTGTGGGAATGTTGCGGACCGATGTTACATCAACGGCGCAAAGGTTAATTTTGCAGCCTTGAAGTATTACCGCTGCCAAGTCGTCGGTATTGATCCAGGTAAAGGGCCTCAATTTAGCTGAAAGTCAATGTATTATAGCTTCTAGGCAATGTGTTACGAGCCGGAGCATGAACGGGATGCCTTCTCATTGAGTTCAAGCCCGTCACATCGGAAAGGAACGGACGAAGGGATCTTCATGATGGACAAGCAATTGGCCACTCTCAGGATCTTAGCTTGTGATTGATCGGACCCCTGATTTGTCAAGAAAACTTTGCTTCTCCCGTGAACCGACCAGGGCATGTGATGCGTCGGCGCGTTCCCTCTTCTTGGAATCGTGATCGATGGTTACAGCTGCATCAGAGACCGCATGGGGCCAGGGATATTCTACTGTCTGTATAAATGTGTGATACACTGTGCTCTTAGCTCGACAAGGTAGAGATCTGCATCTCGCTCCACACGACGGCCGATCCCTACTGCACGCGAGCATCTGATTAGATGGGCGACCAGAAGATAATCTTGGCTACCAACCAACACAAGTGGATATGAACAAGATCTGATAATTTTTCTTCGACTCGCCGGGCAAAACAAAAAAAAGACTCACCTGTTTCTGGTCCTCCCACGTCTTGGCTAACTAAACCCCACTCACGTCCGAGTATCAGCACTATTGTCATCCGTTGTAGGCGAGCCGAGGACCGGCGAGCGAGGGGTCCTGTAATCTGTACCTTGCTTGCACACTGTCTGTTGGTTCTGTCTTTCTCTCTCTGAGATGGGGGCGACCAAACAGCTTTTGGAAGCTGTTTGTAAAAAAGTCAGGCCAGACGACACTACCGCTGCAGATTCAAGACTTTTCCCCTTCTTCTTCCTTCAATTTTATTCGCTTCCTTTTTCTCTTATTTTAATGCTACGTTGATCTGCCGTCTTGGAGCGATATACAGCTCATTTTTTCGTCCCCTCCCCAAAATGTCAGCGCCTAAGCACCCCGAGGGCAGCACTGATCAGTCCCCCGCCGCCCAAAACACGTCGCAAATGTTCGAGCTCAACGAGAAAAAAGACTACGACGCGTCCAACTCGCCCGTCTCCGACGATGATGCCCATAAGGAGATCGGTGTAGGAAGGGTCGAGGCCTTCAACAAGGTCCTCTACCAGTCTGGAAAGAAGGGCAAAATCCTTCTCTGGCTTCTTGGTATCTCCATTGGTCTCACCATGTTCGCCTACGCCCTTGACATGGGTATCACGACTACAATCTTCGGAACGCTTGCGGCTTCGACTTTTGGTGTTCATAGCCAGCTCGGTACTGTCAATACGGCTGGCCAGATCATTCGTGCTATTAGCAAGCCTTTCATTGGCAAGCTTGCTGATATCACTTCTCGACCTACCACTTACGTCGTGGTGCTTGCTTTCTATGCTGTCGGCTTTGCTGTCGCTGCTAGCGCCTCGGGCTTCACTGCCTATACTGTTGGTATCTGCTTCACCTCAGTCGGCAAGTCTGGTCTTGACCTTCTCAGTGACATCATCGTCGCTGACTTGACTCCCCTCGAATGGCGAGGCTTCTTCAGTGCTTGCCTTTCTCTGCCCTTCATCGTTACAGTGCCTGTCAATGGCTTCATCGCTGATGGCTTCTATGAAGATTGGCGATGGGGTCTCGGCATGTTCGCCATCCTCGTCCCCGCCCTTCTCATCCCTGCCATTCTCACCCTTTACACCATGCAACGACGTGGTGAAAAGGCTGGAATGGTCACCATGGCTGATTCCAAGGACGTTCGAATGGGTCGCACAGAAGCCACGCCCAAGAACCTAACATATTGGGCCAAGCTCGCGTACCGTGGTCTAATTGACATCGACATTGTTGGTCTCATCCTGCTTGGCTTTGCTTTCTCTCTGATCCTTCTGCCCATCACCTTAGCTAAGAGCGCAAAGGGCGGCTGGAACAACCCAAGCATGATCGCGATGATCGTTGTTGGCTTTGTTATTCTCATCTTGTTCGGTCTATACGAGATGTATCTTGCTCCAAAGCCAATGATGACCAAGCGCATTGTCAACAACCGTGCTTTTATCGCTGGTGTCATCATTCACATCTTCAACCAGATGGCCTCTTCTGTTCGCAACACCTACTTCTCGTCCTACATCCTCATTATCAAGGAGTGGACTACATATCAATGGACCATCTTCCTCGGTATCACTACCATGGGTCTCTGCTTGGTCGGCCCTATCGTTGGACTGATCCATCGTGCCTCCCATCGCTACAAGGGTCTCATGATCTTTGGCGCTGCTGCCAGAATTCTCGGTTATGGTCTTCTCATCAGCCCCAACGGAATGATGACCCAGGACACTGCCCGTCTTGTCGCTGCTCAGCTCATCTTCTGCCTTTCTTCCCTCAACGTCGTTGGTGCTCGAGTTGGTGTCCAGGCCTCTGTTCCCCACGATGATGTTGCGTCTCTCATCTCCATCATTACTTTGTGGTCTACCCTCGGATCCAGTATCGGTAGTGCTGTTGCGACAAGCATCTGGACTGAAGAGATGGTTGCTCAGATGCACGTCGAGATGCCCAATGTTGACGACACTACCATTGCCACTATTTACGGCAACATCAAGACCCTCAAGACGTACGACTTCTTCGATCCCATCCGTCAAGGCTCTATCCGTGCTTACGCCATCGTCAACGGTCATATCACCATCGCTTCAATCTGCCTGTCCTGCATCCCCCTTATCGCTTCTCTCTTCATGCCCAACTTCTACCTTGGCAAGCAGCAGAACGCCGTCAACAACAAGGGTCTCGATGGTGAGGTTGTCGATGTTCCTGACCAGAACGGGCCGAGAGACGCAAATGCGACTCAGCAAGAGCCTGCAACATTCATGCAGAAGCTGGCTGCTCTATACCGAAAGTAGATAGTGTCAACTTTCAAATGCCAGACCTTTATGACAGTTCATACAGAAAGTCTCCGGCTTCTGGGGCGAACTACCTCTCGGAAATCACTTACTACCGGATTATTACCCTAAACCATAGTTACAATTGCCTTAATACAATCATGATAGCTCACCTCACACTACGTGTCAGGTTCAACTATTTGCATGTGTCCTCGGTTTTGACTCTTATGTGACTTGGTGTGACGACCGTGCGGTCTTTGGATGTAATAGCTGTTGTATTTGATAGCTCCCAAACAGAAGATAGCACGCAACAAGCTCCCATCCGATGCTGCCAAGACTTGATCAGCTGTTTTTAGTACCCTTAGCCCCAGACTATCGGAATAACTCATATTCCCGTGATGCTGACCCACTGAGCTGATTATCTGATCATCTGATAACGATTTGCTCAATGCGACTATCATGATTTCTGAAACCTTCAAACATTCTATCAAACCCCAAAATGCGGTGCTGGGGACTGTGTTCCCTCGCTGTCAGCTTCCTCTCTCATACTGAGGTTTTAGCTGCCCCAGATCATTGCGGAAAAGCCTGCCGACAAACATTTCGGACTCTTCGATTTGCCGATGCCCCTCCGGGTGTCTTCTTCACTGTACAGGAATGCACCAGCTTCATTTATCAGACTTCGCTGCATCTTTGCTGGGAAATACACTGCGCTGAGGATATTTGGCAGGCAGAGTCTGCCTCGATGAACTTGACATGCCACGATATCAGCGGTTCTTATCTTCCGCCACACAATATCATCAATAACCTTACAGACCACGATATCGAAGCTATTACAAGATTTAATGCCACAAGCCCCGATCGATTACACGTTTATGGAGCGTTGATGCTTCCTTCACAGTCATACTATGATCTATGGGTCAGAACGCTGGTCAGTGTACCATACAAGCTGCGCATTGTTCTTTGTTAACCGGGCTTCGACAGGAAGCGCACGATTTCATATGGGACTACCACAACTATTACGGCTGGGCTATGGGGATGTTCTGGGGTTTGGTCATCGGAGTGGGCATCGTGAACCGGGCTCTCGGCCAAACCCTCTCCAGTCTAGGTCGAAATAGGGCATGGGTAAGGCGTCATATTCTTCTACCTGCAACACTTGGCAGACGCTGTGTACAGGACTACGGGGGCTGGGGTACCTTGCCTCCTAGGATCCAGACATTGACTCTCATTACTTTTGTGATCGTCAACATAGCATGTACTATACACGGATACGAGATATTTGAAGGTTATGGCTAGTGAGTCTCCCAAGGGCTCGATTTCGAAAGACATGCTAACATATTGATGCCCAGCTACCCCTCCGTTTGGACTCAAGTACTGCGGCACGTATCTGATCGAACTGGGATACTTTCCTTCGCCAACTTCCCCTTGATATGGCTGTTTGGAATGAGGAATAACATCGCCATCTGGTTGACGGGCTGGGACTTCAAAACTTATAACAACTTCCATCGATGGGTTGGTCGGATCGCCACTTTACAAGCCGTGATACATTCAATCGGATACACTATTATAATTCTGCAACGTAGGGTAATGGATAAGCTTCATATATATGTTTACTGACGTTTGTAGGTGGTGGATGGAAATACTTCTGTCAAATATGGACATTTACCTTTTGGTGGACTGGGGAGCTTGTGAGTAGCCAAAGTCCACAACGCTACTATTGACTAACCACTCTTTAGGCCACAATATTCATCTGTCTGCTGGTGGGACTCTCTATGTTCTGGGTAAGGCGTGAAAATTACGAGTTCTTTCTCATCACGCACATCGTCTTATCATTTTGGATCCTCGTTACCATGCTTGGGTATGATCAACAATGTTGACTCTGGCTACACCGTAGACTAACATAAGAACAGACATGTGTCGATATTCAGTGGTGCCTACGATCCTCTTGTGTGGGTTCCAGCACTGATCTGGCTTCTTGATCGAGTCGTTCGCGGATTGCGCATCATGGCCTTCAATCCGAAGTTCTGGAACACAAAGGCTCTCATCACATACAACGAAGATGCTCACATGATCCGCGTGACAGTTCCGACCTCTTCGAGTCTCTACAGCATTGAGCCTGGGACATTCTATTATATCATGGTGCTCAATCGACGGAACTTTTGGGAAAGCCATCCTTTCACGATAGCAACAATATCGGAACCCGGCCGAGGCGACACAGATACTCTGGGAGAAGATGCACCGTTGCTGGACTATGGATCCTCTAGCGAACTGAGGCTTCCATTGAAAAAGTCCCAACGGCAAATGACCTTCTTGATTCGGCCGTATGATAGCTTCACTTCTCGACTAAGGGAGTATGCCGAAGAAGAACGACCGAAGCCGGCGACAGTACGTATGGTTGTTGGCGGCCCATACGGAAAGACTCTGCCTCTCGAACGCTTTGAAAAGGTTCTATTCATCGTCGGTGGAAGCGGAATAGCGGTCCCCCTGTCCTATCTTCCGAAACTGACGACATCTTCGAACAAGCCATTAAGGATCGAGGTTCACTGGGCTGTGCGACAGTCAGCTTTCGCCGTTGATGTTCTGAATCATGAATTGAGCGATATTCCCGGTAATGATCGGGTAGAGATCAACATATATCTGACTGTCAGCGGCGTTGATGGCAGAATGGCATGTGATGAGATAATCTACAGACTCGCGAAGTGGAGGTCAACACGACTGAACGTAGAACACATTATTGATAGAGCGTTAGAGGATGGAGACGAAGAGAGTATCGCAGTAGTCACAAGCGGTCCCGCCAAGATGGCGGATGAGAGCAGATGCGTGGTTGCGGCAAGGACAGTGCCGTCTTGCTCGCGTATTGAGTATTTCGAGGAAAGCTTCCAGTGGTGATAATTCTAATACTCTGAAGCTCTAGAGTAACATAACTTGCCAAACCGGATGATCATGTGAACATGACTAAGTCTCACGGGGAATGCGTAAGGAATATCGCTGAAGGACTGACTCATCACCCTGCAAGCGGCCATGTACAGGCACCGAGGGCGGTATTTTGTCGACAATGTAGTAAATCACCAACTTTAAAGCGCTTCTATACAGTTCACTTCGATTCAGCAGCTGTGGGGTCAAGGGAGTGGCATATGGCTCACGAATGCTATGAAAGCTTTAGCGACACATGTAGCGTCATGACATCCTTAGAGAGCTGCCGTGTCAGATATCATCAAGGCACTGAAGGGACTAGTGGTTATTGGAAGTAGGGTCTGTTGAAGAGTTCTATCATAAGTTCAATTAAGCCACCCATGTTATTGCTAAAGAAAATGTTGAATATTACTACTTAAACTGCTATCAAAACGTCTTACACTGTTGTTGAATGCTTTTATAACTAGTGAACTATCTTTTTTCTACCTCGGCTGCTGAGCTTGACCCAACCCAACTACCTGTTGAAAGCTATCCCCAATCTTCTTGCGTCAGCCTCATCTCACATGAGTAAGACTCTTCTGGAGTGTTAGGCAACCTCAAATCCCATCATCAATCGACTCAAGACCTCTCATTGAAGTCAGCGAGGGCACTATGGGTCGCGTAGAAAGCACTCTTGGGGTAATAGGTCTCGTTGAACATCAACGGCTTGGCTCCCGGGAGCCACGTGCACGCGTGCTTGTCGGTGAAGCCCCAGAAAGATATGTCAGTGATGCCTGCGTCTAGAGCTTCCTTAATGGTGCTGCCATATATCTCGGCTAGTTGGGTTGCGTTGCAGGTATGAACATCCATTTCAGCAATGGTGACCTCGAGCCCAAGTGCCCTGTAAGATTCAACCATTTCTCAAATGACGCCAGGTACCAAGGGCTCAAGGGTGATATGCACCTGCAGAGCGATTCCATCGATGGGAACGCCTCTTGAAATGAGTTTAGAAACCATATCGTATAGTTCTTGACGCTTCTTTGGCTGCAACTCCACGAGATTCTCATTGAGAAACAGCTTGGCGTCTGGGTCTGCTGCTCTGGCTATGCGGAAGCTGTCCTCGACCCAACTGGGACCCAGCGTCTCGTAAAAGTGGTTGGATGACAAACCGCTGCCGTTGGTCTTGAGGGCCTCGGAGACAACGTCCCATCGATCCATTTTACCCCGGTAGCGATGCATAATGGCCTCTATGTGATTGGTGATTTCAGCACGGAGGGCGTCAGGGGAGGTAATGTTGAGGACATAATCTGGGTTGCAGCATGGTGAAAGAAGACCATGACCCTTGACTTTCATATTATTGGCATCGGCGAATGCGACGAGAGTGTCGAGCTTGTGCCAATCATATTGGCATTGGGCAGGATGGACAAAGTTCCACTTCAGTTCATTCTCAGGAGAGAGACTGTTGAGCTGCTGGGAAAGAACAGCACGAAACTGGGAATCGTTGAGATATGCTGGATTGGTAGCGCCTGAACCAAAGAGAAGGTTCTTCTTTGCTGCCTCTTCTCTCAACGAGGTAGTGCCGGTGCTGGGAATGCTGATCGCTTCAGCAAAGGCGACGAACGATCCGATGATAGTTGTGAGTCTCATGTTTCTTGTTGAGTCTGTGGAGGCTTTTTGAGTATGTGTGCTGTTGTGCAGCTTCAAGTGTATCAGGTCGATACATCGTTAGCTACTTATAAGAGACTAGAGGCTGTGTTTTTGTGCCAAGTCCAACCTTGCCTTCCTGAAGGTTGACGCGTTATCCCATGAGAACGAGTAAGTTTACAACATGTCATTTGAAGAACGAGAGCGAAATTCGTCATCCTGGCAAGCATAGCGGCGGTGAAAAGGCAAATTTCGGTGATCCATAGATGGCGGAGTTGGTGGATAACATGGGAGTGGCAGAATTCTCTGATCTCGGGCAAATATCAGTCAGCATCTTTCCGCAAGTGTGCGATTGTGTCAGGTGCGGCCTTGCTACCACGAGGTTCACTTGCTGGTCCCAACCGCTAGTTCAAGAATAGTGGACTGTAGTAGGCTAAGCAGGTCTAGTATAAAATCGGAAACGGCCAGTCAATGAAGTTTATAAACGAAAGTTAAAAAGAACAAGTTTAAACGAGTTTAAACGAAACCTAAAGGTTAAATACGAACCAATCATAGTGACCACAATTTTATTAGCTCTACTACTGGCGGTTTCTGTAGATCTGAGCCAAGCGCTAATTCCTTAGCACGCGTTATACGTTGTAATTTTTATCCTAAAGGCCCTAATCGATACGATATATACAGATCAATCCCTATAGATATAGGCATATTTCTTGCCTATTAAGGTAAGCTAAGTACTTTTAAATTTAGGGTAATATATTTCTATTATGCTAAAATTACTTACAGGGCTATTCCTTATAATTATAAAGCCTATTCTTTATATTTATACAGGATAGGCCTTATAATTATAATAAATATACCCTATAAAATTAGTACTTATTTTAATTAAAAACCTATATATAGTATAGCTATTTAATAGCTATACTACATATAGATAAAGCTACTTTAGCTTATATTTTCCCCTACTTAGATCTGTTTATAGGGATCTGTATGTATCGTATTGATTATGGCTAAAAAAGCTCCTACTTTGTATTCTAGCTATTATAGTTTAAGTCATAAACAAGAGCAGGACGCAATGCCTCTTACGACTCGATGCGTTATTAGTATAAGCTGCGCTATGCACTACTTCCGTTAAAAGAGAAAAAATATGCAAAATCAGTTAATATAATTCGTCTTGGCGTCTCCATCTGGCCTTCTTCATTTATACCGCTATCTTGACTGTCTATTCCACGTTTGCGCTTTTAGCAGTGTACTACATATTAACTGCAATGGCCGATAATAAATAGAAAACTATTTGCTATAAGCTTGCTGGGAACAACTCTCCATTGTGTAAGGCGCGTAATATAAGCATTAGTAGCAGTTTCTATTAACTTAAAATAATACTTTTATTAAATTAGTTTAAGCAGTATACTTACTGCTTAATATAATTACCTAAAATAAGCTTTTTAGCCTATTTAATAATTATATTTAATATATAAGAAAAACTTAAATATATTTACTAAAAAATAAAAAAGCTACTTTAATTATTTTTATTATAAGTCTTTAACTTAATATTAAAAACATTCCTTAAGATATAGGCTTATATA